GTGAACCCCACCTGCACCTCGTCGGGCCGCGGGCGCCGCTGCCGGCGCTGCTTCGCCGAGGTGGGGGCGGCCGGACGCGCCCGTCGGCTCCGCGTACCCGGTGCCGGCTCCTCCTCGTCTTTCTGAGGTTCGAGGAGGCTCCAGCTCTGTGGAGGCCAGTAACTGACTGCAGTCCGACTCGGTGACTTCTGGAGGCCGCGCGGGCGCGACGAGCCGCCGGCGGCCTCATCGTCGCTACCGTCATCGGCTCCTCCGACATAGCTGTGCAGCACCTCCTGGCGCTGGAGCTCCTGGCTGGAGACCGCCAGCGCCATCTGCATCTGAGCTGTGACCGTGCGCAGGCTGAGCAGCTTGGTCACTCGCTGCAGGGGGCGCAGGGCGCGCTGCAGCGGCACGCCGAACTCCACACTCTCCGGCAGAGAGGCCAGAGGAGCTGAGGAGGACGGCGTCCTCTCCTCACCCTGACGGGCGTCCTCCGAGACTGCCGGCGCCTCCACAGCAGGGGTAACTTTGGAGGATGCCATGCTTAGTTGGCCTTGTTTTAGTTTTAGAAGGTGCAGCGGTGGTAGGAGTTTGGTTCCAACAACTTGCCGCGCTCCTAACTCGGCCGCTGTCATAAATCAACTGCCGTTCACTCTCCAATTTCGGGCCGGGACAAAAACGCACATCAGTGGCGGCGCCAGCAACATCTGACCATGGGTGCAAATCAATATTCGATGTCATTTAGCCATATACCCATATAAAAGCGAGAAGTAATCCACATTAGCATCCACTAGAAAAAAAGGCGAATCCACATGTGTGATGTCAGCTTGCACCCCTGCATCCGTTCCCTGGTTCCGCCCGTGGCGTTTGAGAGGTCGGGCTGCGGTGCCGCAGTGTGGCGTGTCTCCCCGGGAATTAGTTTGCGTGCCTCAGAGAACGCCGAATGGCAGGTGATCATCAATGTCTCAGACCGTACCACCACACAACACCGCCATTCAGCTAATTATGGCTCGAAGGTGGCCGACTCGAAGGGATTTCTGCAGCACAAACTGAATGACTAACTTTGAAGAAGATACAAAAAATGTTCCATATTTAGCAGATGTGTGGCATCCGTCTTTTTTTTAACTCACCAAACGTCTCTAGGTTTTCAGTGCCCCAGCTCATAACAAATACCTTAATTGCGGGACGACCATCACCTTAATTACATCATGCCATATGCATCCTTTATTTCTTACCGCATCCCAAATTAATTAGCCGAGTCTGCTGACACCGCTATTTCTCCCCTCACGATGTGGGCTTGACAAAAGACCCCAAGTCTCGCCAGCCATTTTTCGTTTAATTTGTGCCCCAGGTAGTACAATTTGTACCGAGCGAGGTGTGGTTTCTTCCTGGTTGGTTACATAAGGTCGCCTAGGCCATGCTTCACACACTATTGCGCGACAGTACAAGCTTATATGGCTAGGAATAATGCATGATATTCGTTCAGACTCGTAATTAACAACGTTCGTCACTTGTATAATGTATACCCAACGCCTGAAGTGCCCGCCAGTATGCACAGGTAGGCTAAGTGATGGTATGCTACTTGGGCAGTTTAATTAGACGTGCCTAATTAGAAAGTCAATAGCGGCAAGCTGTTGCTATATTGCGTAGAATGTACTGGTAGGTAACGTGGAATGGGTAGGATGTGGGGGCATTTTATAATATTCATAGGGCTGTTAATGTGCTGTGTTAATGTGTTTATTCTATCTACAAGCGATGGCTTGCTGCGGCGGCTGGTAGAGTTCACTGGGATTACACGAGGTAGATTTTTACGATCGGTAGATGCTCAGTCTTCATTTTCATGCTGGCTAAAAAACAACCTTTCCTATGTTCTCCTTAATGCCTGCTTAGTGCTTGCCACACCTCGAATATGATGACAAGTTTTGTTATGATGCATTAGAGTGTTTCCAAGGTGTATTTTACCATATTTGTACCCCGTCGAACGTCAGTCCTAGAACGAAATCACTTTTTTCTTTGCGGTCAGAAACTGACCAACTGACAGCGACAGTAACATATTACACGGAGTTCCACTCACCAGCTACAAGACACCGTGCTTCAGAACTCAGTATTTTATTCACGACCGCCCCTGTGAGCCGGTGTCACCCGCGCCGCCCGCGGGGTCACTCGCACACCGTCCATCGATCTCGGCGGTCTAAACTCACGCTCGGTTCGTGCCCAAGAGGACGCTGGGCACAATGGCGCCCGCCCGCGCCCGCCCCCGTCTCTCGCCTCCAGTGGATTGTTGAGTTGAACACCGACCGAAGCAGCAGTGCTGTATCGACCTCAGGTCAGCTGCCCCTCAGGCGCCAAGGGTATCGCTGGTGACCTGTGAAAGCGTCCTGTGCTCATCCTCTGAACAGCTTCCGAAATGGTATCGTTCTTTGTTTATTATTTCATTTACCTGAAAGTGTTTGCGGATACTGCCCTGCAGTTATAAGAAAAGGTTCATATTTGTTGGAAAGTGACAGAGTGAGCGAGAGCGAGAGCGAGAGCGAGAGAGAGAGAGAGAGAAAGAGAGAGAGAGAGAGAGAGAGAGAGAGAGAGAGAGAGAGAGAGAGAGAGAGAGAGAGAGAGAGAGAGAGAGAGAGAGACAGACAGACAGACAGACAGACAGAGACAGAGACAGAGAGAGAGAGAAACTAGATTTACGTACCCATGGACGACATAGGTACGCTTGTATTTAGGCATGGCGGTTGATAGTTGTTTATTACATTTTTTTACATTTGGGAAATATAAGCAAGGGGAAGGTGGGGTAAGACGGACCAGTTAAGGTTTGAGGCCGCATATCTTGCTACACTGCTCTCGTAATTCATATTATTTATAGTCTTCGGAATGCTCAATCCTCCCTCTGTTGATATGTGTAAAGACTAAATTTCAAATTAAAGACATCTAGGTGGTGGATGCTCTTAAAGAGGAACATCTCAAAAACTCAGACAAGAAAAAACGTGGGGTAAGACGGACCACCCAGCAGTGCCTGCTATCCGTTCATGTGTGTTGCACTTCTGCTCTGTACTCTTGGAAGAAAAAGTAACCAGAATGGTAAAATAACAAAATGAGCCTTTATTCTTTACTCATGTGTGATGGAAGTGCAGCTAAAAGCTGGGAACATGTGTGTTGATTGTCGTTTGGCATGAATGCATGCTAACTGAGCACTTGCATGCATGGCTCACATGCAACAAAGACTCCTTCCTGAAAAATTAGCTTACTCAAACTTGTGTCAATGTTTTGGAAAAGAACTTTCCATATGCAGGGTATAATGGACCACCACAGGGTAAGATGGAACACAGTGGTCCGTCTTGCCCCAAATCTAAATTCTGTCATTATCATGACGTATATGGCAAATAGCCCAACATTGCAAAACCTTGCCTTTCCTAAAGTGTGACTATAACTAAATTTATAACTTTGTTCTTCACAGTTAAGTGCAAAATAGAGACTAATCATGCAAGAAAGGCGCCGTAATTGAATCACCCGTAGACCTCTTATATTAGATCGGTTTGACGAAAAACAACATTTTTCTCAATAACTCAAAAGCTATGCATCCAAGCGGCATGAGCTCAAGGTGGCCATTGTTACGAAGGAAAACAAACATAGTGAGTGCATAAAGCAGTAGATACCAGCAGCGGTTCAGCCGGGAGGGCTGGTGGTCCGTCTTGCCCCGCTGGGCCGTCTTACCCCACCTTCCCCTACTTTCATCATTTTCTTGTTATTGCAGTTGCTCCGATAAAAAGACTGTCGGTTTTATTCAAAGCGCCAGGCATTCACAGGACATCATGTTTGCAAGTCACGACTCTCACCGATACCAGGATATAAATGAATATACTTGATCTTTGCGGTTCTTTTTTACATTTTATGCTAGACTAGTACCTTTTATGTTATCAACGCACATAACTCGCCGATTGCGTACCTATCTTTCTTTACGCGATAATTCTAATAATAATGCATTTTATCATCATAATATTTGTTGTATGGAGACAGTGCAACGAAGTTATGATGAAAAACATGTTTTTAAATGCAAATGCAATGCGCAAAGCTATAGGAAGTTGTAATAGGTGATGCTGACGCAGCACATACGATACGCGATACACATAAAAGACATCACAAAACACCTATGCACATCGCACACACGGCGTCATGGATACTACATATTTGGAAAGATAGAGTGTCAATTGAAATTAGTTTGATCAGTCAAGGTGAAACCTGCTATCAATGGGTAGCTGGGAGAAGTCAATACAACAGGAAAGTCAACGCCAATAACGAGGGCTTTCTTTCTACACACAGACACATTACACACATTTCATCTTCGGCTTTTGGACAAGGTTTTTTTCGACCGGCAATTCTTTTGATTTACACCTTCCTTGAACACCCGACGACATGTTTTATTTTTGCACATTGATGGCCTATTGGCCTTCCATATTGTGATTTCTTTACCGATTAGACCTGGGGTTTGACTAAAAAAGACGTTAGTTATTTGCAAGCCAGCATACAAACGCATCTCACATCTGCAGAAAACACAAGTTAAGCGCTAGCGTACAGGAACTTTATCAGCTGTTGCCCACACTCCTATACACAAAGCACACCCACTCGCCGCGCGAACTCACACTACAGTCGTCTCGGCTCCTTTGGAGCTATTCTGCGAGGAGATACTTCGGGAGCCGGACCGGGTCACCCACTGACCCCTGACCATCCTGGCCCGGCTGGTCGGGGGTGCTCGCTCGCTGCCGGGACTCGAGCAGAAGCTGTCGGCCGAGACCTGGACCGGCACCTGAATCTGGCACTCGCCGCCGCGCCGCGCCGCCGTCTGCCACAGATGGCTGCCCCGGGCGGCGCACGGAGGGCCGGGGGGCATCGCCGCCGACCAGCCCGACTCACTGGGGTCGGGGGCGCCGGCCGACGCCCCCAGCTCGGCGCCCAGGCCCGCCCCACCGCCGCACGCCCCGGGCGCCGCCGGGGCGCCGCCACCGCCGCGTGCGGCCGCCCCCAGCTGCTCAGCCATCACCAACGACACGAGATCAACGGCCGACTTGACCCGGCGCGGTGCCGACAGCTGGGTGCCGGCAGGGGTCATTAGGGACAACTGACGTCGACAGCTCGGGGACGTTGCCGGCTCCTCTTCAGTGGAGTTCATCCGCGAGTTCTGCCGGCGAGAGACGGACCGGAACGGGTCAGAGAACGGGGAGGTCATGGGTTGGGTCAGAGGTGAGGTCAGGAGCCAGGTCAAGGGTCAGGTCAGGGGAAGGTAAGATGCGGTCAAGACTCAGCTCAGGGGTTGGGTCATAGACCAGGTCAGAGGTTAGGTTAGAGGTGAAGTCAGTGGCCAGGTAAAGAGTTAGGTCAGTGGTCAATGCTCATGTCCGAGCGTTTATGTCTTAGGTTAGGCTAATTTTTGCTGTAATGTACGTCCGTACTCGCACCTGCATATCAGCTATACGATGGTTCAAGTGCATCTGCCTTTGACATAGGTTAGACATATGCATTCCTAATTCAGTTTACAAGTTATTGATATGGCCTTTGAAACTCCTGCAGAATTGAGTGTAGACTGAAAAGTAATATGGATTAACCCATTTGTCATCGTTTGACCGTGACCTTTTGGAGAGGCTAGGGGAATCTTCCTTAATTGAGTGGAGATGAGAGAGGCAGGATTGTTTCCAAAGCCTGAACAACGACCTTTTGCAGAAGTTTTAAGGAAAGCCCATTCGATGGCTGCTGAGACACCTGATAACTTAGTTGCTAGAAAGGTCAATCCAATTCAATAAGAAGTACGTTAGCTTCTGTGTGAGATAAGGTCATGCCCGTCAGCCACATAAGGATTCACGTTTAGTTTATATATCTGCTGGGAGTGTGAGATAAGCGGTGGCGTCTTTGAACTTTGTGATTGTATTCAATGCTTTGTAGGACGTAACATTTAGCTTTGAATCATCACGACACTGAAAGTTCAAGTCGCATGAAACGCATACGGAATATGTAACACGTTACTGCGGGATTGGATCATGACATGCTGGGGTTATGCATATATTGTCATGCATGTTGACATTGCATAATGCATATTAGTGTATATGTTGCAGGCACTTTAGAAAATCAGTCATTTTGTAAAATGCCTAGGCATTTTGCAAAATGCCTGATTCTCCAGGCTTTTTGCAAAAAGCCTAGGCATTTTACAAAATGACTGACTCTCCAGTCATTTTGCAAAATGCCTAGGCATTTTACAAAGTCATTTTGCAAAATGCCTAGGCATTTTACAAAATACCTAGCCATTTTACAAAATGACTGAGCAGCGTGTTGTAGATACGAGTACCTAATTATATACGTTTTGGTAGCGTGTAGGTGGACCGAGGAGTCCATCATTATGACCAGAGGAGTCCAGCAGTGGGAAGTCCATACCTGCCTCTATTTTGAGAAGTTCAGGCCCGCGACATTTCCAACCCCCACGTCAGCGAGGCTGCTGGATTTAAAATGATCGATCTGGAGCGTCAACAAACGACTGGCCCTATGCCGGCCTGTATCTGTAAAACTATTAGAGGTCGCGAGGATTCGATCCCACACACTTAGGCGTTAGTGTCTTCTGAAACCAACGCTCTAGTCCTACGCCAAGCGACCTGATGATTCTCCCGATGTGGGGCTTGATATTTTTAACTGGGACCATGTAAGTAGGTACTCAAAGCTGTCAAACAAAGACACAATCAAACAAAGACTACACTCATTCGTTTACATGTAATTGTACATCAACCGGGCCTGCCTATTGACTAGGGCCGGTCTCCGGCTGGTTTTGTTAGATCTAGTTTCAGGCAGAACATGAACGGCGTTGCTGTACCTAGGTACATGGGAGTTTTTACAGCGTTAACTAAACAATGCTTTATGCTACAGCCGAGTCTGCAACTCAACCTGGTCGTTACTCAGCATTGTCGTCATCACAGAGCTTCAAATCGATCAGCTACAGGCTGAACACGTACCTATAGGGTATAGGAAGACGTCCAAAAACTGTTGGCCATAGTATCTGTAGTGGGATCTACGTTCCATGCTGGTCAGGCATTTTGCAAAATGCGTAGTCATTTTGTAAAATGGCTAGCCATTTTGAAAAAAGCCTGGTTGCGTTCAGTCATTTTTCAAACAGCCGTCTTTTTGTAAAATGCCTAGGCATTTTACAAAATGACTGATTTTCTAAAGTGCCTGCAACATATATACGCTCATGCGTTGACCAGAAATACCGGCCCAGAAAATGTATTAACACCTGACCAATATTGCCCAAATGTACTTCCTTCGTTGAGCCATAACATTAGATTCAGCGCACGAACGGGTCACCAAGTTCTTGGAAACACTTTGCAGTGAACACAGTATCGGGAAGTAATTCCCACCGCCCTGTTGTGAGATTAATGGACGTCCCCAGTGCCCTACTGCGGTAGTAGCTTCATAGCCCTAAACTTGTCACAGACTTATGTGAAATTCAGAGCCAGGGAAGTGGCTCGAAACACTAGAATATTGATATCCACAGAACTTCGGAATCTTCTTAATGGCCAATGCATATATGTATGATAAATATATTTTAAATACGTAATATGAAGGTTAGGTATATGATGTACCAGGGGTGTAATTTTCTGAAAATGATTGTGGGTGCCAAGCTGTAGGGGTGCCACGCCGTTTTGAGACGCAATGGATATTCTTTTTGTGGGAGCCTAAATTAACACCGAATTTGATAACATTATTGCTAGCCGAAGGGCGCTGTGTCGTGACATGTCTGACTAAGCAAATACACGGTTAAAAGTGTAAAGTGACCGGAAGGGCGTGAAAAAATATAGAGGGACTTCATCCAGTAGTAGGGGCGCCAAATGTAGGGGCGCCAGACGGTTACGAGGGCGTAGTGAGACCATGAAAAGGGCGCCATTCTTCTATAAGGGCGTCGAGTGATTGAAAACGTTATATGGTCCAGGGGCGCTGAGAGACCAGAAGGGCGTCTACAGTCAGTAGTGCTAAGTTGGTGAGGAAATAGGGGCGCCAGACGGTTACGAGGGCGCCGTGAGACCATGAAAAGGGGCCCCATTCTCCTAGAAGGGCGCCGAGTGATTGAAAACCCTTTGCGGTCCAGTGGCGCTGAGAGGCCAGAAGGGCGCCGAACAGTCGAGGGATGCGGCGCGGTGCTGTCAAAAGGGCGCCATTCTCCCAGAAGGGCGCCGAGTGATTAACCCGCGTCCCAGTGGCGGTCTCGGCCAACTTCACCCTAGTGGGGGGGGGGGGGGCATATGTTACCACCCACCTCTAACTCAAAAACTAAGAGGGCTAGAAAGACGCGGTAAAAAGCAGTCGATAGCTCTCAATGCGTACGTTTGAAAGTATTTCGGCCATTTTTCATCTTAGAGCAATATTGGGGTCACCATAGGTAATCAAAGGTCAAAATTTGCCAATTGTCATTACATTTTTCAGAAAACATGCCGTTATCTCAGGAACTATGGTAGCTAGAAAAACGCATGGAAAAGCAATCGATAGTTTTTAAACTCTTCTTTTGATAAGGTTATCATCAAAATTGACCTCAGGTCAACTGTTTAGCCTCCAGAGGGCAAAAACTCCAAAAATAGTGTTTTTACGAAAAGTGTTTTTCGGCAATAACTTTCGACTACAAAAAGCCACGACATTTATATTGCCAGAATCGTGTTCCTCTCGCCGAGATGCGTCGAATGAACTATAATTTGACCTTGAAAGGTCAACTTGAAAATTTGACCTCAGGTCAAGGTCATGACCTGACCGGAAAAGGTCATGTTGCATATCAGTCGATGCGTCTCAACAAGACAAACACAATGCGGCCATTCCCAGCGTTCTAGCTCTTTCCAATCGCGAGTTTTTGGCAAAAATCTGTTTGTAGCCTCAAATGACCTCGGATGACCTTTCTAGAGGCTATCAGCAAAAATGACACCTTGGTCACCACGGGTGGTCCAAATCATTGTGATTCTGAAATATTCGGACTGTTCCTATGCGTACACACGGATCTAGAGGCATTTTCATTTTTCTCCATTGACTTGTAATGGAAAGGTCACGCCATTGACCTGACCTTAGGTCACGGATATAAAAAAAAAATCCGAGATATACAAATTGTAGGCGCCCATAACATCATGCAATCCACCAAGTTTAAAACCTTTCTGACAAACACTGCAGGCTGGACATGATTGCAAACTTTTTTAGGCTTGGTCAGTATATTGACCTGGTGACCTGACCTGACATGACCTGGGGTCAAAAATTTCACACAATGTCCAAAATTGATGTACCAAAAGCTACCCCAAGCGGCGCGGCGCTACGCGCCGCGGTTTTTTATTTACACGCAAAAAACGCGACAGGGTGGTAACATATGCCCCCCCCCCCCACACTGGGGCGAAGGTTAAAAACGCTATATTATCCAGGAGCGCGAGACGGTCAGGAGGACGCCGTTACAGCATGCAAAGGGTGCCGTGCTCTCGAAAGGACGCTTGTAAAATACTTGTGGGTGCATCTTCATCATTTGGGGTAGGGGGGCATAATTCAGGATTGTGGGTGCATTTGCCCCCACAAAGAGATATAAAATTTCACTCCTGTGATGTACATCAAAAGAACTGAAAAGTGATAGATATCAACAGTGTCAGGTCGAAAAAGGTTGAAAATGTCAATTCAACATATAACGACACTGTATAACCTAATCTACCGTCTGAGTGTATTTACTGTCACTTCGTCATGGTTCGTGGTGATTTTTCTGTTTCTATGACTCTTTGCGAACAACTTGATTTACCAAATGGTGTAAATCCGGCACCCATAATACCCAGGAGATGACTGAGTGTTCATCTCCCCACATTTAATCGGAACCTCGGGAGATCCAGCAACTACAAGGAACTGTATTCTGTTTCTCTGCATACAAATATCAGTGATTTTCTCTTAGCCGCACTCGAGAGCTACCTACTTCGTGGCGAGACTGAGACTGATGTAAATGCTTGCAACTGCCCTCCAAGGCCGGCTAACAACCTATTTAGCTCAACAGCCTCCTATCTAACCCAAAAATGTGGTTTACTTTTGAGTGAACTAGGGGCCTATCTAAAATAATTGCATATGAGTCTCAACTTCAGAAATGGTTTGTATTGCACACTGGTGAGTCTTTTATACTAATGCTTCCAGCGTTGTATTTTC